CCCCCCCCCCCCCCCAATCACCTATAGACAAATCCTTCAGAATCGAAGCATGTCAGCTTTCTTTGAAGTATAAAAGTGTATGGATTGAAGGATCAATGGTTACTGCAAACAAAGGAAGGCCAATGAGAGCTTAACTAGCAACACCTAGCTACTCTGTTAACATAGACAAATCACTCTTGCTCTGGATCATTTCCACCTTAGACATTTTAACACAGATGGTTTAGCTCACACATCTCTGCTTCTGTACCAAAACAAGCCATATAATACTTCTCTCTCATCAGCATCAGACTTTTAAACATTCCATAAGTGTGATACGTCTGTGGAGAAAGTCCATTCTAAGTACATAGGACATAGAATGTTCACAGCTATGTAATCTGGATTAAATGCAAGTTCCTGAGAGTAACAAAGACTTGTAAAGCTATCACTAACTTTCAACTGATAAACTAGAGTCAACAGCACCAACCCACTGTAAGCACTTGGGTCAAAGGTCTGATTTGAAAGTGCAGTATAAAATAATTCTTGGTATTTTCTCTTGTACAAATATCGTTGAAGATTCCTCTCTACCCCAACAGCCAGTAAGAATCATTATATGGAACACAGAATCAAGATAGTAAGTAAACACTTACAGAATTGTGAATAAATTGTTTTATCTGTTCACATGTATACTAATTTTTCCTTTGCTGTTTATGTTTGAATAATTCTCATTGCTAAAGAATGTTTTATTACACAGTGTATTTTAAATGTGTTTTTTCCCCCCAATCAGCTCTCTGGTAACTATTTGTTTGATAATCTTGATCACATAAGTGCACTTTCTGAAACCACTTACAGTGAAGAGGTGAAAGCTATGGTTCAGGTAACAACCCTAAGAATACAACAAGGACTAGGAGAAGTAGTTTTTTTTACACCCAGAACTTTTGCCAACAATGGAAGAGCTATATCCATGTCTTGCTTCATCCTCTGGACAAAGAGGTTGTTAGTATGCAACCAGGCTGGTGTTATGCAACCTCTGATGCTTACTTCTTAGTGTGAAGCATGAGAAAAATGTCAGGATGGTGTCAAGTAGTATGATATCCCAAGAATTAGTAGGGTTGTCTCCATAAAACACCTTCGTGCTCAACAGCTAGCCCCAACATCACAAGGAGCTAGTTTGAATACACCATAGATAGATAAGGAGAGCAACAAAATGCCACAATAATGTCAAGTGCAGCATCTTAGTGCCTTACTGTCAATTCAGTAGACCTTGAAGTTATTCAGAAGCCTTTCAGGCCAACTAGGCAAAGATGACATAAGAATGTATTCAACAACTGAACATAACATGGAATGTGATGAAGACACAGATTCCTCTGGATCACATCATTATGATAAGCATTTACATGCATCACATTATTCTGCACAAAGTTTTACCTAAGAATGCCACACTTACAAGGATGTTGCAAGTCTGTGGACCATTGGAAGACTCGAGTGCCTCCCTCAAATCTGCATAGCTCTCTCAGCTGCACAGCAGAAGATAAGTTGATAGCAGGTACCTAAATTCACTATCATTTAAGTACAGTAGTGATGTAAAATAAATGAAACTGCCAGTGTTTGGTGTAAGGGTTAAATAGAATTTGGACACTTTCCTCAAAAGTTAAGCAGTTAAGAGACAAGTTTAATGATGAGTTACTGAGTGAAAATGTGTGGCACTATGTGGGTCTGAGAGATATTTAGTCTTTTATTGAAACAGTTTCTAGTGCAAAGAAGTTTGAAGTGATAATTTTGAGTAAAGAAAGAATCCAGTAGTTTTGCAGCTGCAGCTTTGAGACAGTCTCTATAGTTTGTGAAGAAACACCACTGGACTGTAACAATGGAAGGGTGTATGTGTGGACAAAGCTACAGTCCAAACAATTTAGGAGTAATAACAGATAAATAATCAGAAGACTATTTATACTCTTTACTATTTATACACAATATCATTTAACTTTAGCAATTAATGTAATGGTTTTATCACATTAAATAAAAGTTTAAATGAAATAATAAGTTTTTTTTCACACACAGACACACACACACATATATATTTAAGGATCAAAATAAATAAAACAACACTGCAAGTATTTGCTTCAGGTGTTCAAAAATGAGAATCTCAAGTCTGGAAACCAAAGAACTAAATTTCAAAGAATTTGTACAAATGTATTCTACAGAAGCAAATTTTTGTGTGTATGTTCAAACATTTAAAACTTCTGTAATTGCAGAAATCTATACAAAATGGTTCCAAAAGATAACTTAGAAAAAACTATACATAAAAAGTCAAGGCTGATTATGCCCACCAAGTATGAAGTTTTAGATTTTTCTGGTTATATAACTTACGTTTTCTCTCCATTCAATCCCAGTTGAACTTAAGTTTAACATTTATATCTATACGAAGAGCACACACCAATAAATATTTTTGTATAACAACCAAACACTTCCAGAGTTTATCTGTTACTATCACGGTGCAATATTCACAGATTACACTGTACACAATGTCAACAACTAAGATCAAAGAAGAATTAGGCACAATGTATAAACTGAAGCACTCATCATGGTTCAAATTATTCTTTTTTGTTAACAATAGTGCAGGTTTCAAAAAATATTCAAATCTAAGTAAATTATATCTTTTTTCTTCTTTAAAAACTTTTGTTTCAATTACCAACCTTCAATGCTGACACCTTGTGTAATACAAATACTCTTGTGTCATAATTTAATACTTCATAAATATACATCTACTACTACTTTTAAACTAAATAAAATAATCCATTCAGACCCCCCCCCCAAAAAAAAAACTTACTTGCTTCTACTAACTGAATTACAGATCTATCACTCCCATGTTTATTAATTCCTTCACATGTGTATTGGCCAAATACATCAGCTTCAGGTGAGGGTTTAACCTACCAGGAAAAGTTTAACAGTTTAGTAATAAAAGCTTGAATTTGTCTAGTGAAGAACAGAGTACAACATATTAATCTGTATAAGATAATTCATACTATTCCATGCATCAGCTAATATCTTCTTTTCTCTGTTAAAGTAAAATATTGTCATTAACTCAGATATAAAAATGCAACACTAAAACATCAATTCATTAATACAGTTTTCAACAAATAAATTTCCCCTGTTGAAAATATATTTCTCTACCTGAAATTCAAGCATTAGCCACACATAAATCACTTTCATTTCATGAAAATCATAAATGTGAATATTTCTAGAATACAGTAAAAACACAAGTGATTGTTATTAAAACTTTGTTACAAAGGTTACACTAGCTTTTTTGTACAAGTTTTCCAAAACTTTGAAGTTACGATACTTAACAATATCATTTGTACAAAATGAAAGGAATTTTGCTATTTTCTCAAGATAAGTAGTTCTAATTATGTAAACATGATTATATGCAGTCCCATTACCTTTCAGCTTGAATCTAGTAGCTGTAAAAATGAGGTTGCCTTAACCATATATTGGTCACAACTTGTGCTTTTTGTTATGCGACCTATGACAGCAAGACTTCAATATGTGTGCAGTTTATGCAATTTCATTGCAATTCAACCCAGAGTGTCATACATGTTGTTTGCATTTTACAAAACTTGGGTATAATATTTTGAACAATTTGTATACATTCATGAAACATCTATGCATTAATTGTGAATGTTTTTCACTACTAAAAATACAGATTCACACTAGATTTCATTCACAGCTAAATACTTTATGTAGCTCACTACAAAAAAAAGAAAAATTGCCTATTTGAAACTTAAAGTGGACTTGTATCAAGTCTGATTTGAAACTTGTACAAGAACAGTTTATGTTAATGGTTTTTCTTCATTGATTTTGAAAATTATTACTTCAGTATAACTTAAAATTTATCTAGTTTAATTCATACAGGTTTTCATTAAAGTACTTTTCATTTCTTAATACTTAGCTTTTTTTTAAATTTGAATTTAAACTTTTAGAAAAAATAAATACTCAGTGGTGAGGTTTGGCCTGTATCAGTAAAAACAAAACGAGTGACTTTGAATTATCTTGAGTTTTTATTTTCAGCCATATCTAACAGAAATAAATAAAAGCAAAAATAAAAGAGAAAGATAAAAATTACAGTTTAATGCTAACACAATGGAAAATATCCTCAATGATTTTATGTGCTTTAAAAATTACTAAAACAGTGCTACTATAGCATGCAGTCTACAAAAATATTTACTAAAACAATTTCTTACTAAGTAATTTATATCTATCCATGTTTTAGTTCAGCAAATAATAATTTAAAAAGTTGTGTGTTCCAAAAGAGTACCTTAAATTTAGGTTATAACTGTGGTAGTTTTCATTGTTGGAATATATTTCATTCTGATTACAATTGCTCCAAAAACGTTATGTAATGGTATTTTGTACTTTTAGTTTAAAAGTGTTATTTATAATAAATGGCACCAATAGCAAATAAACAAAAGTTAAAATGGTGATGATGATAGTATCTGTGTAAACCGGATGCTAGTTTAAATATCTTTGTAGACTGCATGCTATAGTAGCATCACTAAAACTGTACATCACAAATGAAATGTTATGCATATTTGAAGTCAGAACTTGCCTGCATGCAGTAATGGCCATCAGTGTTTTAGTTTGCTACTTCCTAAAGCTGTACTAGAAATGTCATATGAACTATACAAAAAACAACAACAAAAGACTAAACACATTAATCCATTCCCTCTGTAACCAGCATTTCCAAATATTTTGGGCTTTTACATAAGATGTTTATATAGATGTAACACACAGAAGCTAGAAATTCAAAGATTCAATCAAGATACACTAAAGTAGACCACTAGAGATTGATCCACGCCAATATAATCAGTACTTCACGTGTCAGGAATATCATACATACTGAGGAAACAATGCAAAATTGAAAATTGGACCGAATCCCATAATCCAAATATATCACTTGTAACTGTGGTGATGTTTCAACTTTAATAAAACACTACAAGTGACTGCATTAACTTAATTTAATTTCATTAAGAATCAAGAAAGTAATTAATTACATTAAGTAATAATACTGTAGCAGTTAACAACAACTTAGAACAATACTTTATTAACATAGTAATACTAAATACCATAGTATGCATGCATGTATATTAATTTTCTGCCTCAACATTGTTGAGGTACACAGCATTTTATGAAACATTTATTGTTTTTTTGTTTTTTTTTATTACATTTAATTGCTCTAGTAACAACCACTAACAACAAGCATGTTGATGTTTCTAAATAATTGTTTTATTTCTAACTACAAAAGTTCTGTTGTACATCATAGAGGCATGTGTATTTTTCATCAAGAGCATAATTACATATTAAGCCTATAGCCAGTGATGTTGAAGATTCTGATACTCGCAAACGATAATACAAAATACAGGTTAGTTGGAGAGCATTTTGTCTATTTTAACATATAACAAGTATTCTAACATATGCCTTGTCACACCTAAGAGGATTTAATGTTTAAGTTGCACCCACAAACAAGAAATTAGCTCTTTACAAAAGCTGCAATGAAATCAATTCTGAACAAAAGAATATTCTGTGTGACAGAAACTGGTAGGCCTGCACTCACCCTCCATTCTCTTAGCTGATTTGTGCTGGTCTCAGAAATGACCATGGAACACTGAAAAAGTCAGATTTGCTCCAAAGTCAGAAAAGTTTCATCCATGTTTGAGTTATGCTGGGGAGTACAGAGAAATTAAATATGCATTTTATAAAGAACAAAGGCAAGGGACACACAGAGGCTTTTTCACTTATGCAGATGATTTAATGATATTACATAGGAAAGAACTTCTTACTGTGTCAAGTTTTTATGGATCTGGGATGAGCAGGACTCTTTACAGTAGATGTCTGATTTGCTGGCAATAAATTTCAATAGTAAACAGACAGTACACCATCCACTTGTTTCAAAAAAAGTCAAACGTATGTACAAAAATTAATTACACTATTGATTATCACAGTTGTATCCAGAGCTTTAGATAATTGTATCTTTTTTCATCAAAGTCCACAGAGGTAGGTTCAACCACTTCAGAACACCCTCTGGCAAAACAAACTATTCTCCTCTATATCTGTTATTATAATACAAACAGTGAAACTCACTTCAGAAAGTGCCCATTACAGCTAATCTGACAATCACACAGGCTAACTTCACACTTACTTTCACTTTCTCTAAATTAACTTGTATCTGCACATATTTATAACACATGACAGAAACATCTAGCACTCTAGTAACATGACACATTACGAGAAAACCTTAAAAGCTTCGAGTAAGATGGTATCAACAATATCAAAAAAGCCTAGTGATAGCTGAATGGGTCAGACAACAATCAAATGGCATCACCAAGATTGTTTTTTTTAAGGATGATTGAATTGGTGGTTTTGTGGGATGTGTGTCACCTGAGATACATGTTGAAAGATGGAATAATAAAACCTTCAAAGAGTACTTGGTTATCTTCATTGTTGACTAACAAAAAGAAAGAAGAAATGCCAAGATTCTGTGTGGACTTCAGATGGGTGAACATAACATGCACTGATGCCTTTCCTCTTCCACTTATAGATGAATAAACGTACTGGAATGTACACTTAGATCAGGCTTTTGAATATTTGAAAGTCAAACTGGATAACAAAATTAGGTCTAAAACTGTTCTGCACTCAAGAATAGCCATTTGTATTTCCTGACATAACAATTAAGTCTGTGCAATGCACCTTTCACTCAAAAGGCTAATATGGCTTCACCATCTAGAAAACTGTAATAAAAGAAATATCTCATCTATGTGGATGAAATATTTATATTTGATCACATTTTATACCACAAATAAAACCTGAGAAATAGAGTGGTCCTTGTTTCTGGAGTTTAGATTTACAACACTCAGTCCCTCATTTTGTCCAAATATAAAGATAAGTAATTTACACCAAATTTTATCCATTTTGAATAACATTTAAGGATTGCTCAATCTAATTGAAAATTTACCTAGTAGCTTGCATGCCAGCATCATATCTCAGAACTTGTCCCAGAATGTGTTTTTAAAGACTTCATGGTACTTTTCTCTGGTCCATATATTGCAATTTTCAATTGATTCCAGTTACGAAATTGCAGCTGACCATGATGAATTAGCAGAAATGACAGCAGAAATTAAGGACAGTGTCAATGAGTTTGCTATAAGACAACTTCAGGTCAACCAACCTAGAGACAATTATCAAGAGCTTCTTGAACTAGCCAATGTTTCTTGATGACATCCTTCTTCATGGAATGCAATTTATAGCATGAAGGATGGCCATTGCATTATATACACTCAAGATCTGGATGTTTTTGGGACAGTTTGGCAGTTTATGCTCACTGGCTGCCAGGAAAGAGGACTCCTTGACATTTGCATCTTTGTTGTTTGATTCTATCTTAGGGCACAGTTCACTGCTCCTGATGCCATTTCTGCTCCTTGAAATGATCTTAATTTCCTACAACATCTTGTTAAATATGCTCCTTCCAAATCTGCCTGCCAAAAATGTATTGGACATCTATGAAATATCAATGAAAAACTCATTGGTTGGACATTCTTTGATTCAAGTGTATCTACAATAACAAAAAAGCAATGGTAACGGCACTGAATAAGAAGAAAAGCAAAACACAAACAGCTGAATATCAGGAAGTCCAA